ACCGTGACCAATTAATTTTACTCCTATTTTTAAACAAGCAGAGGACATGTATATTGTATATCTTGTATGTTGTATGTTGTATGTTGTATATATTGTATATACAACATATGCTGGAATTAGATGCCAATTGTTACTAAACACGAAAGAGAATATATCTTACAAATTCGATTAAAAATAGAATTTGTTATGAATTGCATTGTTTATTAACGACTTATTTGAGACTTTTTATAAAACATTAGTATTGTCTTGTTTTTATTTGACCTATATTTACGTAGCAAGCTAACATTAAAAAGTACATTTCGTTACGAAAAGCCAAATCAATTGGTTGATTAAGTATCATTTGTTATATTATTGTTGCAATATACAATAACAAATTCAACCTATTGAACAATTTTTCGTCAATCGAATTCCTCCCTTATATAAGGGAGGAATTCGATTCAATACAATCAATCAATAGAAGGGATTGAGGACATAATCATAATTATATCCTCAGTCCGTTCTATTCTAGTAATTGTTAGATTTTACCTTCTAACAAAAAGATATTTCTTTTTACGTAAACCTTTTTGCATCAACATTTAAGATCAGCAAAATGTCTGCCTCGGATGTGATAAAATGAGGGGCAACACCATCATGTTTACTTACTTAACTCGTTTAAATGTTGTCTAAGACCGTTAAAAAGTTAGAGTGTGCTTTATTAAATTACTTTAGAATACAATGTATTTACCTGAAAACCAACAGATGGAAGCTGTTATAGCTACGTATGATTACGTATATGTAGATATCTGGGTAATAGTATGTTCAACATGAACGGCTAAACTATTGAATTGACTGACATGAAATATGTACAAAAGTTAATCATAAACACGGCCAAAACATAGATCTAAAATAATTCACCACCATAAAATCAACTCGGACTACATCCACTGGACGTCCAAGGTTTCGGAGAGGAACGTAAATATTAATTGGTTCTAAAATGGAAAAATAAATAAGACCACTTTCACATTATGCTAGTATCTTTATAGTGCAACACATTTGATTGAAATAACCTAAACCAAAATACTATAAATGGATAAAACTAATTGGTACAGTAAATTTAGCTATTATCTATAATCAATGTGGTAAAGAATTGGTAAAGAAATTATTTACCGGCATATTCTCTTCTGCACTCTCACTCCATTGCGATACCAATACTTACCACAATTAGTTCAGGAGTAAGATTATCCTAGATTTATTAAAAGGTAATTCACAAATTTATTTGTTTAATTCAATTTTATATTAGTATTTTCAAACAAGATTTAAAACATGGTTAGCACAATTGTTATTTTATGAACTAAATTTGAATGCAGTTCCAACAAGCACTTTGGTCATGTTTGGCATCCCACTCGGTTACAATAAGAACTAGGTTCAGACCGAGAAGTTTCCTCCCTTCTACTTGAAACCCAGGACAAATGTAACTTTTAGATTTGGTCCCGAGCCAAAGTTGGAATGGTCCAAGTTTCCTTTGAGATGTAAATAAGGAAAATAGTAGGGTGTTCGGAGGGGAAACCTTTCCGTGTTGTCTTGTATCAATTCCCTCACCTAGCAGGATACTATGAGGTTTAATGTTTTGAAAACGGTACAATGTTGTGCAGCAATGCAATGCAATTACAAATTATTCTTGAGGAAACTTATTGCATCCTATGTGATTTTGGTCGTAAAAATTTTTGAAATTATTGGAAATCAGAATTATTTTATTTGGTTTTTACAGAAATTACACAGTGTACTTTAAAGAAGCCTGAAATTATGTTATAAGCAAATTATTATATACTACTAACTACTACTACTTAACTACTGAAACTATCATCCCTAGGTCAAAGACCTGTTTGAGATGTTCTACTCGCTCATGTACATTTAATATATCTCAAAGGTAAGATCACCAAAAACCTCAAATACACCATAAAGAAACTTTATAGTGCAAACCTATTGTTATAATTACTATTTTTTGCGTTGGTTATTTGATTGAAATAGTATAGTATCCCAAATAGTAAAATTAGTCTTTAGTACTTATTATGTTAATAACTCTTTAGTAAAGTAAATATTTGTACAAAACCTCATTAAAGTGTCAACGAGTTATCCTTAGTTGTCACACATGACGATTCAACAAAGAAAAGCAAAACTAAATGCGACAATATACAGTATAACTCAGTGTAACTTAGCTTCGTAAGTTACGGGCATAATTAACCTTACGCGGTGCAGCGCTAAGTGTAAAGTTAAATTGGAGTTGTAACACCCTTAGTGGAGGGGGAACAGGGGGAGGAACTTGGGGTGAATATAGTCATTAGAAACACGATCAGGCTTTGGAAAATGTCACGTCAATTAACAATAATTATAAAGCCATTTCCCAGATGAATAACATGTTTTAGTGAGAACAAGTGAAATGGCGGCAATGTCAACTAGGTGTGTTACATGTAATGGTAATTACCACGATGAACAAGGAGACCACCATAATGAGTAATTCGACTCTTGTCACTTCTAAATTGGTTGAATTAAATAGTGTACGCTGAAGTACGATTGACTGATCAGTCTTGTGACTTTACTTACCCAGCTTGTCTTGATAATTATGATTTTAATAAATGGTCGTGGCTAAAGAAACAGCTGGGCAAAGACAGAAACAAAGCTTCACGAGGGAATCTTACTAATCTTACTAATATTATAAATGTGAAAGTTTGTGTGTTTGTTTGTTTGTTTGTTTATTTATTTGTTTGTTTGTTTGTTTGAAGTTCAATCACGCATTAACTACTGGACGGATTGGGCTGAAATTCGGCATGATGATAGCTCATATTCCCGATTAACATATAGGCATATTCTTATCTCAAAAATCCTTTCGGGCTCCGCCCCAGTGGCTCTGTAGTTTTCCATGTTAACCTTATGAGTATTCATTATTTAAGAGGAATTAAAGAATTCAGTCAGCTGTTTCAAATAGAAAAGTTGGTTCTATGATATGCAAAAGTATTAAAAAGTTATAAGATTTACCAACAGGGTGCAGCACTATATTTTTTTACCTTTTATGAAAACAGCTTATTTGAAAATTTGAAGAAAACACTGTCATAAGCAATGAGAACTGTCAAAGTATGATTGTTTACAGTTATGTTTATGTTTTTAATTGCATGAATAGTTTGTGATAGTTTGCGAATTTTTAATAATTTGTTTTTCTCTTTTGTTTAGGTGAAGTGGTAGATCTTATGGCTATGGTAGGTGTGTAATACTATAGTACCTATACCGTAAATTTAAAGAAGCAAATTTTATCAAACTGTATCCTCCCCATTGCAAACTCTAAATTAGAAAATAACTGCAATACGCATTTTACACTTATATGCCATCCCCGTACGAAGGACGGGTACTCTGCTAGTTTACTATATTATCGTAAACTCAATCTCTTCTCACTACTTAAAAACGAAATTTGTTGTCTTAGTCTCAATTAAATAATATATTTAAAATTATGTCCATTACATAAAAATATTATTAGCAACGTACTGGTAGAAAGAAGTATTCAAATTCGTTATAGCGTCAGAACTGCAGTAATGCCTTACATTTATACAAACACCTCATCAGAGTAATATACAGGGTTTATATGTTTTGGCCGGATGCCATTTTCAAACACCTTGGTTCAGAAAATACATTAGCAGTGTAATGTGATTCGTGTACTAAATAAGCATATTATGTTGTTCCAACAAAGCATGCTGCACTGTTAATTACTTTTGCAACTAACTACGAGGTGTTTAAATATCCATAGTAATGGAAGACGTAGTTTTAAAGCTTAATTGTGCAACTCGAAATTAAAATGTGAACAATAAACAAAATCATTTATTTTTTATTTTTTAATAAGTTTATTTTTAATTTTTAATACAAACTTGGGATTTTTAAATTCCTTTAAAACTGCTTTTACTCGAATTATTAGGGTTAAAGAAAAAAATACTAACTCATTACTTTGCAAATATAAGAAACTATTAAGGAAATATCTACAAACGAAAATGGATTTTTTTTTAATACGTTCTGTGAAAAATGGTCCATCTAATTGACCTGAAACCCATTATTTCAATTTTTTTATAACTTCGAAAAGACAGTATGCTATCAAGACTTTTTTTACACAAGCATACGAAGAAATATGTTGAATATACCTATTGTCGGGTGTGACAATAAAAATCAAATTTATTTAAATAAAAAGTAGTCCAAGTAGGCCTATTCCTTTAGAAAAATGTGTGCATAGATTAGGGCTGGTATTGAAATCTGTATCACCTTTTTTAGAACCTCAGAAGTTATAAGATTTAATATTGCTCTCAAATAATAATTTTGCACAAATATATCTGGTATATCTGACATTTTCAATGAGATAATAGCATGAGAATAAAATGAGGTAATAGCAGTGATTTAAAAATAGTCATTAATAAAATCTTACATAGGGAGTAATACAGAAAGTTACAATGTGTGGACGGTATTATGGTTAACATTCTAAATAAGTAAGGCATTTTGGGAACGTAGTATTTTTCTTGTCGTATTATGCGAAAACGGAATTAAAGCATCAGAAGCTAAATATGAAATAAATATTTGTTATTTATACATTGTTTCTTATATGCGTATGATATAGGTAATTTTAAAACTATCGTCGACTTCCAAAAAGATATAAAAATACAATTTATTTAATTCCGACAGGTTTTTAAAACACATTGCTACCGAAGATAGTTTGTAGTATTTATAGGTAGTGAATGGAAATAAAACTAATAGTACAAACTATCGAATCCTAAACAAATCCTCCTAACCAAAACAACAGCGTTACTCTACTCGACATTGCATATTAAAATCTAATTTTCAGTAATGCAACACCTAACACTGAGATCGAGAAAACAATAACTAGCATGAGCCAGCGGCTGGGCGGCGGGGGAGGGCACCTGCAAAATCAATAGACGGCAAACAACACCAGGACAATCGGCGCTCCTGTGGCTAAGACGACAACAAGCACCTACCTTGGAGGATGTGAGAAGGCTGCTAGAGCTGAGGATACAATCAAGGAGCTGTTGTGTGTTCGAGCGAAAGACAATCACGCGGTGACCGACACAAGTTCTCCTCACTGACTGAGGAGAGGCGAGGGAGGCTGGAGCTCCTGCGCCGTCGTCAGCTGGACCAGATAGTACCTCTCCCTGCCACCGCACCACTCAGCGCTAGGGTCGCTATCCTGGGGCACCTCGAAGAACCATGACAGCTTGTTGTGTCCAAAACTGGGGTGTTTTAAGGAATGTTTAGTGATTTATGTTGTCCGTTTGGATATTTGCAGCACGGTTGGTAGCGTGTAAAAGTTTATAAAATTATATGGATATACTAAAACAAAATTAAGTATTTAAGAGGTGAAACACTCATCATCATTGAAACACTTTTGAATTAAGAAAGAACAACAACAAATAAGTAAATTAAAACATAAACAAGAAGTCAGCTGATCACATGATAATTAATAGTTTTACATTAAAACAGTTGAGACAGTAGGTAGCAAATTCATTTTATGATTCATGTTAGTGGGAAAACTATATAGCTACAATATAATGAGTACGTGAAAAAGTAAAAATAAATATTTATTTACACAATCTTATATGTAAATTAAATATCATCTCAGAAAATTTTTTTATGCAAGTTTAACCCTTGCTCAGCTAGGTGAAAGAGATACTATATCGTTACAATTGTATACCAGTACATGTACCAAGAAGGCGAGCAAATGCTAAGTACAGGTACTATGCTTAAAGTCTAGCGTTTAAAAACCGAATGGTAGCTTCTATGGTCCCAGATTAAAGAGTGGATCATGACTAGGGACTATACATTGTCACTGCTAACATTAAACCATTTGGTGGCGTGTTAAACACTCAACCAAACTTCGTTGTTTTCATTTATAAACATTTTACTTCAGTTTTTACAGCGAATCTTGCCACATCAACATCGTCATTGCTATGGGTAAACCAGCTGGTGACATGCGAGGCATTATCCAAGCTGCGGTGTTATCTTCTACAACAATGACTTGTTATGAGACTTTTATCTCTCGGGACGTGTCAATTAACACTGTCAGTGACATGGGCGAAGTCTGCTGGAGACGTGCAGCTTTTATACAAGCTTTGTTGTTATCTCATATGATCATGTGTTGTGTGCAAATAATAATACTACCATCTATTGTGTCTAGAAGTTAACATTCCATTTCTTGTAACTTTTATTTACACCTTGCTCTATGTTTTACACGATTTGATAGGAATATTTTACGGGGTTGGAAAGGCTGTATTTAAAAAATAAAAAGCTGAGATGTACGTTAGATAAAATATTGTAATTAGTTGTAGCTGAACCCCGTATGAGGTTTTAAGGGTTTACGAGCTTGCGACTTCGGTTTCGAAGTGTCGGATTCAAATTCTGACAATCAAAGATTATAATGACAAAGACATAATAATGTCGAAGCTCACCTCAATCTGCATTTTTTTCATCCAGGAAACCCCCACCTAGTCATCCTTGTAATGAAAAATCCCCCCGCACTTAATTCATACATTTCATTGGTTAATCGTAGGTTAATTATTGACTAAGAACACTTCTTCGGTTTAAAAAATAACATAGTTGTAAAACCATGGAAAATCACTTCACCATGTGGTAAGTTTGAAAATATATTATCTCCAGTTCTGTCTAGTAATATTTAAACTGTTTATTTATTGAACATCTGTTACAATTCACAAAGCTATATACAACATTTGTTTTGGTTACGATTACTTTCCTGTGCGTATTTCATTGTTTTACTTGACAAAATTTGCAACGTTAGAAATGGAACCTACTAGAAGAACAGGAAAACAAGCGAGGAACAGTCCAAACCCTCCACAGACGGAACTCCAAGGTGAAGACTCTAGGACTACGATCACCAATCTGGCAATCTTCGTAGGCACCGTGATAGTGCTTAAATTGATACCGATTTTCTTTGATTGTTGATATATGACTTACATCTAGGGTGAGTGAATTATTAATTAAAATGGAATACTATTAATAACTGAAGATAATTTTGTATCAAATTGATTTGTTGTATCCTGTGTAAATGTTTTAATTGTATGCAGTAAATGTTACATAACTAAATTTCAAAGAGTACTTTCAATTTTGTTTGGTTTTGATCGATTGCCTTCATCTTATTATTACATCAAGGTTACCTTCCTTAAAAAATCAAATTAACTGTCTCGTTTCATTGTTTTATAACTATTTTTCTTTTAATTAAACTAGAAATAATGTTAATTTTTTGAAAATGCATTGTCATCTACAAAGGTTACAGATTGATTCTTTGAAGGAAAACTACGTTGGCAAAAACTTCTTTCATTTTATTGCAAATTTAGTTTAACATTTTGTGTTGACAATAAACTTTCGAAAGCATTTTCAACAATTATTATACGAGAGAAAGCCAATTGAAGGGACAACATAGTCCGATCGGGCGGTGCGGCAAAGTAGACAATGCAAGAAAAGCAATTTGTTAGCCTCTTCAATAGGTTCAATCTGTACTTGTTCTGGAAACTACGTCCCAGACCCTCGGTTTGTTGCCAGTTCTATTTATCTTTAGGACCTTCTTCAAATTATGTTTGTTTCTTACTAAGTAAGGTTAAGATCGATGATTTATTTTATTTTTACTTTGTACACATGCTATGGATCTAGTGGAATCTACATTTTGTACGTTGCATCCCAATGCATTACCAGAGTGACAAATCTTCACCCAGTGTCTCCCTTGCGACTACATGTGCACTATAACCTTTCTAGAAGAGCATAAAGTACAATTTCAGAAATATTTATGACAACGTTTCCTTATATAGGCTATTACCATCAGTGTATCATTCTGTTAAACATGGCACGTTGGTTGCAATACGTTATGTGACTCAGAAACCCTTCTTTGTCCTTGTGAGTAGATTTATGAAATTTAAAATGTTTGCAAAAAATAAAACAACTATTAATTGCAGTCTTAAATCTTTGATTTTACTCAACGATGGTGGTTATTTAGATCATCTTAGCCAATCAAAATCATCCTGAAACCAAGAATAGGATAGCTGTTAAGTAAAGAAAATGGATTCAAACTAAAATTATCAAAAGAATTTTAGTTTTCTTAACACCTTTTAACTTTTTAAGTGTTGTATAAAGCCAATTATTCTCTAATCTTAGATAGCCTATTGGGTACTTTCCTGTTAAAGGGAACATTCATTATTATCGATGATTTTTTCGATATATCGATATTTTTGTTTACCGATCCATTACATTTTGACAACTGTCTATATATTAATTTGAAACTGTTTTTCTTTGTCATAGCTATTTTGAGAGAACGGCTGGGCGTAGAAACTCGGTAGGGGTGTCTAAAGAAAGGTCTTGGTCTGTAGATGAGCCATCAAAAGAGAAACGTGGTAAATTCCCTCGGGGCTCTGCCTCAGTGGTCTTTAAAGTCCCATCCCATGTTATTCTTAAGGAGGAAAACGGGGTTTTTGTCACAGCTAATTTGAGAGAACGGCTGGTTGTAGAAACTTGGTAGGGGTGTCTAAAGAAAGGTATTGGTCTGTAGGTGAGCCCTCAAAAGAGAAACGAGGTAAATTTCCTTGGGGCTCTGCCCCAGATGCCTTTAAAGTTCACTCAGCAATTTTGTTTACATTATATACATTATATACATACATTACATTATATAATATGGATAATTTTACACTACTTTTAATGGATCAAGAAATGAAACTGTTCTAAGCTAACCTAAGATAACCAACCAAACTTGCTGTACTAATTAAAAATTCATTTTGATAACAGAAAAGGCAAGTTAAACATGGAATGTTACACAGCAAGTTTGGTTAGTTATGTTAGGTTATTTTTTTTTTTAGAACAGTTTCATTTATTTTATTGTTTGATGATACTGAACAATATTTATCGCAGTTGTCAGCTGATATGTTTCAATTTTTTAATATCGATATATCAAGAAAAAAAATCATCGATAATAATGAATGTTCCCTTTAACAGGAAAGTACCGCTTAGGTAAACTGACACTTGGTCATTGATTTTAATTTACAACAAATGTCGAATGCGGTTTCCTCGTAAAGTCGATTTTAAACTATAATATTTTAGTGAAAAGTATTGGACCTTGAAGGTGTTATAATCTATATATTTTATTACGTAAGGTGCTTCATTATGTAAAATTATGGGCGTCTGAGAAATCGTAGAACGACCGGAGAGGGCTCAAACTAAAGGTCCCTATTCTGTGAATTTCCAATAGGAATAGTGGAATTTCCAAAATGTTAACACAAAATTAGATATGACGTAAAATGTTCTTCCAAAGAATAGGATTGGAAGCCATACTGGCCATGCCCAGCAGATTTTTTTACTTCAATACAGGTAATTGTGATCGTGTCTTATTAAGCCAGTAAAATGCCAGTATACTCAATATTAGCATTTCGTTTACTTATTTGTCAGTTAACTCTGCAATTAATTAATTTTTATACTATGTTAAAACAAGTGATAACGTTATCCATGAACTTTTTCGTCTTGTCTTAGAAATTTTGTATACATTATTTTACTGAGCAATTTCTAAACTGTGTATTTTTAAGTAATTCTATTAAGCGTATGATAATTAGTATAATCATGTGAGGTGTCTGATGAAAACACATTTGCTTTGTTTTATTTTAAAACATTCGATCAAAATATTTACTAACCAAGCTTGTAAATTACATGGAATTTTATTCAATATTCTAACTTTGATCGCAAATATGAAATCATGTACGGCTTTCATGCCGACAAGTTGGAATATTCTTATAGAATATTCAATATAGCCTTTCATATCAGCATATCCCTGCTTTTCAAAGACACGTCGACTACAAAAGAAAATAACATTCCACCCATGAGGGTAGGAAAATGTGTGTTATGTTATGCAATGTTTATAATAGGTGTCTACTCTACTGTGAACAAAATTTAAATATCATTAGAACATATTTTGGGTCCCGTAAAATGCCTGGACTTATCCCTTAGCAACAACATGCTGTTAGAAAGGGTTATCAGTTAACAGGTTAGTATAGAAACGTTACTTTTAGCATTGAATTAGCAACCTTTCGATTAGAGAGTAAGAACTGCAATAATATATGAAAAATAAATAATAATAAAATAGGATATAAT